TAATAATTCATTAATTTGTTTTTGAAAGTTGTGTTATTACTACTATAAATAATCAATAATTATTAAGAAAAGATTGTTAATTATCCTTGTATCTATGAAAAAGCAAATTTAATAAAAAATAGTTTCATTCTTGGTCTATGAAATCAAATTAATTTTCCACTATTTATTATTATGATTTATATGATGTATTAAAATTAAATTATTTAATAAAGATTTCAATTATCAAACAATTTAGAAGAGGATGTCAAAATCCTATGTTTTTTAATTTGCTTGGCAGTAAAATAGGAGCTGCTTTGTACTCATACCTAAAGAAAATATTCCAATTGGTTTTTGAAACTATATAATTATAAAAGTCGCTATATCGAAACCCTTTGATATCATAAGAGTTCCCGTTCTTTTCTAATGTAAAAAATAAGCATTAAGATTCTATAATTTTAATTAAAATAATTTAGACATTTATTTCTCCAGAAGAATTTTAATGAATGAATATAAGAATTCTCTTAGATATAATTCATGAAAAGTAAGTTAGATTAATGTTGCATCAAAAATATAATTTGATTTTCAAATTTTATTATAAAATTCTATACTACATATTTATTTTTATCCAGGATATCAAATAAGTTAGAAGGTTTTCCTTTTATGGAATTTATTAGAACCAAAGTCTTTGAAATTTATAATATTATTTGGATTGATTATTTTTTTTACTTTGATTGATAAAATTTGCTAATTATTTTAGAAGAATGAAACCTTATATCACATTTTATCGAAAATTTTCATTCAAAATTATTTTTGAATATGTGAATATTGTTTATTTAACTAATTTTTGTACTTTAAAATGTGGAATTGCAACTTTTAAATAGAAAATATACAAATAAAAGGAATTGATTAGAAATCATTGATTTTCTTATATTCAATTAGAATTTAGAAAATGCTGCCTTTAATAATCTTTTTTTCTTATTTAGAATATCATGTTGAAATAATTAAATTCAATTGTATATGATGTTTCGATTCGATCTGATTTTCCTAAAAAATTAAATATCAATTCCTTGCTCAGTCAGATTGGGACTCAGGGTCAGCTCATATACAAGCATAAATATGATTTTTTTAAAGAATTGTAAAATCCTATGACAGGATACCAAGATATTGGAATATCGAAAGGGATTCTAGGAAAATTTCTGTTAAGAAAAACTCACTTTATTCTCCTCATCATAATAAATAGTAAAGGGTCATATATTATTGATCTATACTCGAAGTATGACTTCGTAGTCACTGAGCCTCTAGTTTACCCCCATTTCCTTAACTATATTTAGCATTAAGTAATGCCATTAAATCTACAAAGGATAAACAAATAATCTGCTAAATCCTTGGAAATATAACTGAAATGCTCTTAAAAAATTAATCAAATGAAGGACCTTTCGATTATGAGGCAGTATAAATTTTCTAATTTAAAACTCTTTCAAAATCAAAATTTTATTAACTACTTCATGTTTTCATAATCCAATTATTTGATTCTAGCAATTCGAATTTGAATGCATATATCATCGTCT